CGCGCGTTCGAAGCCTCCCAGCCGTTGGGTAACGCTGCCCTTGCGTGGCGCTGGCTGCGTGCTGCTGCACTCCGGCTGCGGGCTCTGCCTCCGCGTGGGGGTTGTTATTAAACTCCTGGCCGAATCCCTTTCCCAAACAATAGCCTCCCCACCCCCAGCACTGACTCAGCATTCACCATCCCTGCCGTGCTGCTGCTAGGGCTTGAAAACAGCGCTCCAGGGAGTTGGGTAACGCTGCCCTTGCGTGGCGCTGGCTGCGTGCTGCTGCACTCCGGCTGCGGGCTCTGCCTCCGCGTGGGGGTTGTTATTAAACTCCTGGCCGAATCCCTTTCCCAAACAATAGCCTCCCCACCCCCAGCACTGACTCAGCATTCACCATCCCTGCCGTGCTGCTGCTAGGGCTTGAAAACAGCGCTCCAGGGAGACTGCTGGAGGTACCACTGGGAAGGAGGGTTCCTTCCTGTAACTGAAATGGCCCCAGATCTCCTTCCCCCCGGACAGGAACCCTCCAGCGCCAGGACACAACCCCTGGTGCAAGGAACCGAAGGCAAAGGGCTGGGCTGCCCCGCCGCAGGGCAGAGGCTGGGAAGAGCAAACCCAGTGCGGCCCAGCAGTCAGGTTCAAGGCGTAGCCGGGGGCTGGACAAAGCGCCAGGGAGCTACCACGGAAGCCGCGGCCCCGCCCCTGCCACGGCCGGCTTTCCCTGGGCTGAGGACCCCGCATGGTGCCGGCCGTGCGCACTTTGCTGAGAGGGCAGCATCCAGCTGCCTTTCTGGTGCTGGGGGACGCAGGCCTGTCTGACCTCAGTGGAGGGCAGGGGCCATGGAGCGGCCACGGGGAGCTGATCACTGGGAGCAAATGGCGCATGCGAGGCCAGGCTGGTGGCAGAGGAACAAGGAACCAGCCGTGGACAGTTCTGGCCTCTGAGCCCCAGCATGGCCCACCCAGAGCGATGAGATTGGCTCCCACCCCCGGGAAAGGGGAGGAGCCAGCCAGGGGCCCCATAAGGAAGCGGGGGCCACATCCCAGCGGGCTCTCTGGCCCTGGGGGACATGGCGTGGGGACAGTCCAGGTCGCTGTGCACGGCCCCTGGCGTTTCACCGCCGCGTGGGCACCTGCGCCCGGGGAAGCAGCCGACACCCCCAAGGGACTGTGACGGGGCAGGAGAGCCCACAGTGGCAGAGACCCCTCTCCCAGCGCTGGCCCCCCACACACACTTCACCTGCTAATTCGGGCCCGCGTGGGCCGAGCTGCCCCTTCTGGCTTCCCTCCCTCGGGCGTCCCTGGGGGAGCAGGCCAGGCTCAGGTACCTAGGCGGAGCAGCAAGCGTTTTGGAGCCCGGAGTGCAGAGATAAAGGCTGGGCTATTAGGGAACCAACTCCTGTGGGCAGCCAATGGGCTTTGGGTGCTTAATTCCTCCCCCCCAGGAATCCCAGCCAAAGGCTCCAGCAGCCCCTCTTCCCCCACCCAACCGCACACTTCCGCTGCTCACTCCCAGCCCCGGGCCCCCAGCCCCTACCCACTTCCTGCCTCGCCGGGTGTGACAAGCTCCCCTCCTCCGGCAGCACCTCGCCCAGAAGGCAGGGATGCCAACTCTGCCAAGTACCTGGGCCAGCACCGTTTGTGGCCATGCCCTAGGAAAGGAGAGCACAGACCTGAGCTGCAAGGCGCTGGGGCACTTCCGCTGCTCACTCCCAGCCCCGGGCCCCCAGCCCCTACCCACTTCCTGCCTCGCCGGGTGTGACAAGCTCCCCTCCTCCGGCAGCACCTCGCCCAGAAGGCAGGGATGCCAACTCTGCCAAGTACCTGGGCCAGCACCGTTTGTGGCCATGCCCTAGGAAAGGAGAGCACAGACCTGAGCTGCAAGGCGCTGGGGCTGGGTGCACACAGGCCGGCAGGCTAGGCAGGGAGGGAGGGCATGGGTTGTGGGGGACGGACAGCGGGGATGCATGGGATGGGCAGTGGGCGCTGGGATTACACAGGCTAGGGGGTCTGGAGTGCATGGGTTGGGGAGCCAGGCAGGGAGGGGTGCATGGGCTGGGAGCATTGGGGGGCAGGCAGTGAGGTGCCTGGGTTGGGCAGCAGGATGCATGGGGCGGCAGGGGGTAGTGGGGTGCATGGGCCCGGGATAGGTAGTGGGGATGCATGGGGTACCATCGAATCATAGAATACTAGGACTAGAAGGGACCTTGAGAGGCATCAAGTCCATTCCTGGGGTGCACGGGGCCAGCGGGCGGTGAAGGATGCACAGGGTGGGGTGCACGGGGCCAGCGGGCGGTGAAGGATGCACAGGGTGGGGTGCACGGGGCCAGCGGGCGGTGAAGGATGCACAGGGTGGGGTGCACGGGGCCAGCGGGCGGTGAAGGATGCACAGGGTGGGGTGCACGGGGCCAGCGGGCGGTGAAGGATGCACAGGGTGGGGTGCACGGGGCCAGCGGGCGGTGAAGGATGCACAGGGTGGGGTGCACGGGGCCAGCGGGCGGTGAAGGATGCACGGGGTGGGGTGCACGGGGCCAGCGGGCGGTGAAGGATGCACAGGGTGGGGTGCACGGGGCCAGCGGGCGGTGAAGGATGCACAGGGTGGGGTGCACGGGGCCAGCGGGCGGTGAAGGATGCACAGGGTGGGGTGCACGGGGCCAGCGGGCGGTGAAGGATGCACAGGGTGGGGTGCACGGGGCCAGCGGGCGGTGAAGGATGCACAGGGTGGGGTGCACGGGGCCAGCGGGCGGTGAAGGATGCACAGGGTGGGGTGCACGGGGCCAGCGGGCGGTGAAGGATGCACAGGGTGGGGTGCACGGGGCCAGCGGGCGGTGAAGGATGCACAGGGTGGGGTGCACGGGGCCAGCGGGCGGTGAAGGATGCACAGGGTGGGGTGCACGGGGCCAGCGGGCGGTGAAGGATGCACAGGGTGGGGTGCACGGGGCCAGCGGGCGGTGAAGGATGCACAGGGTGGGGTGCACGGGGCCAGCGGGCGGTGAAGGATGCACAGGGTGGGGTGCACGGGGCCAGCGGGCGGTGAAGGATGCACAGGGTGGGGTGCACGGGGCCAGCGGGCGGTGAAGGATGCACAGGGTGGGGTGCACGGGGCCAGCGGGCGGTGAAGGATGCACAGGGTGGGGTGCACGGGGCCAGCGGGCGGTGAAGGATGCACAGGGTGGGGTGCACGGGGCCAGCGGGCGGTGAAGGATGCACAGGGTGGGGTGCACGGGGCCAGCGGGCGGTGAAGGATGCACAGGGTGGGGTGCACGGGGCCAGCGGGCGGTGAAGGATGCACAGGGTGGGGTGCACGGGGCCAGCGGGCGGTGAAGGATGCACAGGGTGGGGTGCACGGGGCCAGCGGGCGGTGAAGGATGCACAGGGTGGGGTGCACGGGGCCAGCGGGCGGTGAAGGATGCACAGGGTGGGGTGCACGGGGCCAGCGGGCGGTGAAGGATGCACAGGGTGGGGTGCACGGGGCCAGCGGGCGGTGAAGGATGCACAGGGTGGGGTGCACGGGGCCAGCGGGCGGTGAAGGATGCACAGGGTGGGGTGCACGGGGCCAGCGGGCGGTGAAGGATGCACAGGGTGGGGTGCACGGGGCCAGCGGGCGGTGAAGGATGCACAGGGTGGGGTGCACGGGGCCAGCGGGCGGTGAAGGATGCACAGGGTGGGGTGCACGGGGCCAGCGGGCGGTGAAGGATGCACAGGGTGGGGTGCACGGGGCCAGCGGGCGGTGAAGGATGCACAGGGTGGGGTGCACGGGGCCAGCGGGCGGTGAAGGATGCACAGGGTGGGGTGCACGGGGCCAGCGGGCGGTGAAGGATGCACAGGGTGGGGTGCACGGGGCCAGCGGGCGGTGAAGGATGCACAGGGTGGGGTGCACGGGGCCAGCGGGCGGTGAAGGATGCACAGGGTGGGGTGCACGGGGCCAGCGGGCGGTGAAGGATGCACAGGGTGGGGTGCACGGGGCCAGCGGGCGGTGAAGGATGCACAGGGTGGGGTGCACGGGGCCAGCGGGCGGTGAAGGATGCACAGGGTGGGGTGCACGGGGCCAGCGGGCGGTGAAGGATGCACAGGGTGGGGTGCA